TTTAGCTGTTCTTCTGTTTCACAAAATACATCACAGACCTCTGTTTTTCTGCTGCCTCGTTTCACTTCCAGAAACATACACACGCTCCCTCACTGTCGCTCTACCATCCACACACACACATGCACACGCCACACCCCTCTCTCTCTCTCTTAAAGGGACAGCGATCTCATCTCACTCTGCATGACCCTAATATCATAACATGTGTGTTCTGGAGAATCACAGAACGGACGATCGTCCTTATTATTATGCCGTTTAAACCAATTATTTAAATGGCATCATGTAAGTTGTGCTGACAGGTACACACACACTGCTTCCGCGCAGCGAGGCTCCCCCGCCCTCCTGTTGATAGTTCACCAGCGTCAAGTTCCTCAACCCCCCCGTTGATAATTCTCGATCGTTGGCTCGTTTTTTTTTTTAATGGCACTTCCTATCAAAAAGGTTGCCGACCCCTGCAGTAGAGGCACAACATTCAGTTATGAAACTGAAATCAAGCATAATAGGGCCCCTTTAATTTGGTGGTGATTTGAATTTGGTAGTTTTATTTCTTATCCATACTACATGTATGATGCAATATAAAAGTTCCCGACGTCTAGGTTCTTTTATGTGCATTTGGCCACTGACCATCAGAAGCAATGGCTTTGCAACAGGAGGAAGTATTACCAAAAAGTACTACTATTTAAGGGTGCAGCTGAAATACCTCAGGCATGTTTTCTCGCAGTGTCCAAACAAACCTGCTCAGGCATCACATCATATCCACTACATGCAGGCTGGTAAGCATGGCCTGCTGACAGCTAGCAGGCAGCGCAGAGCAGCTGTCTCCCTGGTGAACTCATTTCAATTACGGGAGTGGATCTCTCCCAACTGGATTTCACTCCGTCTCAGCCGACAGCCCACAGTGACAAAACAGGTCGGCGCGCCACCGCCGGGGGGGCACCGGCTGCCAAGGAAACACTGTCAAAGCCAAGCAAATGCCTTTCTCGCTACATTGGTGTCGAAGTCGTGCCAGGGAAACACTTGCTCACCAGCGTCTCTCTCCTGTGACAGCCAATGAGGCCGGCAGCCAAAGGCGCCTGGCTGATAGGGATGGAGTGTCTCTATGGTAACAGCAGAGGAAAGGGAGCTGGTAAATACAGGTGAATGGAATTCTACAGTCTGAACAAAAAAACCCTTGGTGTTATAATTAGGGCTGCACAATGTGTCTCTTCAGCAGCGACATCGCAATGTGCAAGTCACATCGCTGGACGCGTAATGTAAAGTCAGGGAAATTAACTCAAACGTGTCATGCTACAACTTTGCTGCTTGATAAAGAAGGAATTGATTTCCCCTGATTTACAAGATAATTATTTAGCCATTTACTCCAATTTGAGGCTTTAGCTACACAGTGTGTTACTAGTGAGCGGCACAAAGGCTCTGCATGCACACAAAACCACCTTCACACACATTATCGATTCATTTATCAAACCACCAGAAAGCATGCCTTGCTGACCACAGCCTGAAAATGTGTGAGGAACAGGAACAGATAAATAAATAATTGGTTGCAAAAAGATTCGAGTGTCAGTTGCATACAAATATTAAGGCTACTGAAAGGATGATGTTCACCTTAAAGGGGTTTGTTAATATGGTAAAAAAGAAAATCCTGTTAGTTTAAAAAAGCAAAGACAAAAACAATCACAATGTGCATGGAACAGGAGGAAAAAACTAAATAAAAATATGGTTGCAAAAAGAGTCCTGTGTCAGTTGCCTGAACATATTGTGGCTGCAGAAAGGATAATGTTGGACCAAAAATGGGTACATTGTTATGGAGAAATTCATTTAAAGTGGACCTATCATGCTATATTTGAATAATATATTGTAGGGCCATACCTATATAAGGTATATTTATACGTTTTCTTTTTCAAAATACCAAACAGATCATGCATTTTAGCCATGCCTCATTTCGCTCTATTTTGCTCTCCTCCACCCTGTCTTTGCATGCGCTGCAGCTGACCACGTCCCCCTGCAAAGGAGGGGGCAGAGTTACGAGCGTCATGTTACCATGCTGTTACCATGCTGTTACCATGCCACGGCAACCTCTCATTCCCCTGATAGGTGGAGAGTTGGCTATATAGGTGGAGCTCCTCCGTCCTGACGTCAGAGAAATGTTCAAATCTGTATCAGTCTGTATCAGATCCGTTGCAGCCCCTTTTTTAGAGATTTGGGTATGGAGGAAAATAGAGAGGGTTGTGTTTTCTGACACTTGGTGAGTTCCCTGGAACACCGGGGACACATATTCATGTATAAAAGACGTACAAAAGTGCATTTTGCATGATAGGTCCCCTTTAATTATTCAAATCCCAAGTAAAACCATCACAATGTCGTTTTTTTCCAATACCGTGCATCCTAAGATGTATGCCTGACAGAAGAAGATAGTGAACCCTAGTGTCAATCGGTCCAGAGGCATGGGTTATTTTTAAATGTGGCTCCTGACTACTGTCCTAACTTCACATACACCTCAGTGTGATGTTTCCAGCATACACCTCAGAAAAAACCAAGACACCCTATATCAAGTCTGTACAGGAGCCAGGTTCAATACGTGGTCTGACCATCATTAGCAGCTTCGAACAGACGCTTCAAGATTAGACCTTGTGCCGTTTTCACTAACGCACCTTTCTCGGTCATTAGTCTCTCGTTGATGAGCGCTTCTCCAAGTGTCTGTTCGAGTGTGAAAGCTTCATCCTTTGGAGTGTTATTGAGGTCAAATGGGGCGGGGGGGGGACAGAGACAGAGAGAAAGAGACCGAAAAAGACAGAGGGGGAAGGACTGGGGATTTTTTCAACAAAGTCTTTGTTTTATAATCAAGTAATTAAGAGCATCCATTTAATTCATTACATTCCTCCTGAGTCGCAATGATGAAAAGGGAAACATTAATTGTCTCGTTGAATACAAGCACATTCTGAACCACATCAGCCTGAGGTGGTACACATTCAAATCCTAACTGTAAGTAGATTATTCGGTAGCGCAGATGATGTTAAAAGGCAAGACTATTACAACCTTTACGACAGGAGCAAAGGGCCTCATCATTGGCCATCAGTGTTATTATGTAAGGGGGCCTTAGGGACAGTCGAGCTGAGTGGATCACGCTGCCAGTTCGGTGTCAAATCTTTATCAACCCTACTGTGATTGGATGAGGAAAAGTGTGGACAAGACTGATCTGTACCTGTATGCACGCACATAATCTATAACCAAGAGAAACACAGTGCATCCCCCCTGCAATTCCCCAAAGCTCACTGTCTAAATTGTCAAGGCACTTTGGCTTGGCCATCGATTGCCTGAGAAAACCCCAGGAACTGACGCTTGTGAGATAAAAAAAAGGGGAGAAATCACTGACAGCCACGCACAAAATTTAAGAAACTTAAACAATGACACAAATCATTGCTTATTGTACCACAGATAATGCGTCCTTTGTCTCCCTGGAAGACACTGACTCCAGCAATAACTGCTGTCAAAAATAGAAGCCATTGACTCTTTATGCAATCATTTCCAACCTCCAATTTTTACACAATAACATCAATCTGCATCTACAAGGCACTTTGCTACAACACAAGTGATGAAGACATGGAACGGCTCACACACTATAATTAACACGTACTTCAGAACACTACAAATGCAGCGTAACCTCTTCATGATGTCTCTTCAAATGTGTGGAAAAAGGAAACACTGGGGAAGCGAAGGCAGGTTTTTTTTAACGACTGCTGTTATATTAAGAGGAAAGGATTAATGAATGACTAATGGACTCATGATAATGAGTCTAAAGTGGAGTTATGACCTGCACCAGCTTCTTAAGAAAAGAGGAGAGTCACTTTTTTTCTGCACATGCCCAACACAGCATCTGTTCTATTAGAGTGAAGCTTCACGCAGTTGGTGAACAGTGAAATGCAATGCTTTTTATCACCCTTTTAATCTGCTGCACAGATAAATTACTGGCTCAGAATTGCTGTCATTGGGGGAAAATATAATTTGTGTGTGTGCGTTCATGTATTTTTGTGTGTGAGAGAGAAACAGCTCACTCCACAAAGCATCTCCAAAGCGCACAATTGATTTATACACAGTATGAAGCTCAGCGAGCATCATGTGTCAGCTGATGAAGGGTTTAACATCACATAGAGATCAAAAGGTCTAAATCAGCCTTTACAGTATGTGCATGACACCTTTTATTTAATGGAAATCCAGATACCAGAATGAAACACATCTTCTAACGCACTTTTTTGAAAAAAGTGCATTCAGTGATAAATAATATGTCTTCAATGCCAACTGCATGCTTTATCTGATGTGATGCTGCTCTGCTGCACCTTAATGTGTGAGTGTTTGTGTGTGTGTGTGTGTGTGTGTGTGTGTGTGTGTGTGTGTGTGTGTGTGTGTGTGTGTGTGTGTGTGTGTGTGTGTGTGTGTGTGTGTGTGTGTGTGGATCCTTGATGGGTGTACGTCATTAGCTCTTGCAGTGTAATAGAGAATGCCTACATTACAGGAAAGCATTTTTATAACAGCAAACAATGGCAAAACAATCACTAAATCAACTGTAATAAAAGCTTTTGCATTTGACACGTTTGGTAGCCAATAGAAAGCCTATATTGTGCAAAGTGTCACTGAAATGCACTTTCAGAATGAGGGTTAAGAAATAGTGTTAAACATCTGTATGATGAACAGAAAGGGGAACTTCTGGCCATAAGGCAAGACAAGGGGCAGCATTAATAATCTTTTTACAAAAAGTGAAGCAGATAAGAGCTCAGGAGCTTCATTACATGCCAAACATCATCCATGCACTGATATTATTTGGGTATAAACGGAACTTTTTCAAAAAAGGCAAATTTCAAATCTTTTTTAAACAACAGGGAATTCAGATCAACAGGTGTCAATAAACCAACATGCTATAAGTCCGTCAATCAGTTGCATGTTTTTTCTTTTATTATTTTTAAACCAAGACAGGTATTTTTCATGCCTCAAATAATAAAAATCCAGCTCACCTGTGTCTCCTGACAGTTTTCCAGTGTCAAATGTTTTTTTTTTGCGGCTGCGTGTGTCAGAGTTGCTGAGATCACTGCAGCTGGAAGCTGTTTTCTTCTGAGGAGAAATCAACTTCGGTGAAAACAACGTTTGGATATTTTTCTTGGAATAGACGACAGACAAAAGCCCATTTTAGTCCTTCGAAATGCTTCCTGAGCTCACGCTCCACCGATGCTCATCCAAATATGGCTAAAGGAAGTGCAGCGACACTTCAATGCGCTCGATTAGTGTCGGAAATATCGCAAGAATGAGTTGACCGCGCGACACACGGTGGAGGCTAAATGCCACAGGGGGAGATGTGATTTATAAAGATAATCCTTAGTTCTGACGTGAAGGGGAGGAGTTGTGAGGAAAAAGGATTGTTCAAGCCAGATTTTAGAATACTTGTAAAGTCTGATGCACACTTGTTGCTGTTCTTACACTTGTAAAAATGCACAGTTGGGGCTGTTTCTAAATTCTCCAAATGAAAAAAGCCTGTTTTAACTGAACTAATGTTACCTATGGCAATTATATGTTATAAAAAGTTTTAAAAAATGCAAAAAGAAAATGTATATCTTTTTGTAGAGATTGTCTTATTTTCATAATATAAAATGTAATGAAAATGTCATCCATTTTCTTCATAGGACTGAAATCAAACAAAAATCTGTTTTATTTTTTGCTTTTTGGTGGAGGGAAATGTTTTTTGTATTGTTCATAGGCTAAGCTAAACAATAATAATTCAACCAGATCACCAAACATAGATGAAACTTGCAATATTTGCTTCAATTTGTTCATATTTTTCCATATTGAAAGAGATGTGTTTGCATAAATTAAAAGATAGAAAACAACTTATGTATTGTTATAAGTTTGAATCAAATATCATCAACATAACACTAAAGCTTTTTCACTCTTCACGCTAGTTAGTGCCGTTGGTTATTACTTCTGACCAAAGAACCCTGAATGGAGTGAAAAGTGGGAGTTTACGAAGTGCACCTGAAGGCATCACTTGACTGTTGCTGAGGGATGTCTCCAAGAAAAATCCCCGGAGCGACGCAGGGAGCAGGTTCAGCTGTCACTCAGACTGAGAGCCGTGTACCTTTACTTTGTTCTGCCTAATGAGCTCATCCAGAGCTTTGATACGATCTAAATATGTTAATGTGCTACTCAGGAGACCAAGAGACTTCACACAATTCACACAAGGTCTCAGTTGCTGTCCTTAAAAGAAAAGGAACATCTAAATATGTCAACTTTGTGTCATGTTTAATCATGTAAATTGTAGATTTAGTGTATGGACTTGTTATTGACAAGGATTGAGAGCAGGAGCATTGGCTCTTTTTTTATTTTACTGTGCTTATAATTATTGTATTTATGTATATATATATATAAAGAAATAAAGTCTCACTTTTGTATGTGTCCAACATGAATGCAAAAGGAGCCAAAAAAGGGAAAAAGGCCCAAAATTGGATAGAAACATTTGACATTCAAAATCCTCCTCATGTTAGATTGGCCATTGAGATATGCATCACTACATTGAACCCTTGTCGTACTAACTATATCAATAACAGATATAAAACCTAATTTATTGCATCAAATTGACTCCAATATGTTCCGTGTCAGAGCTTCATTGAAAACCACTATTGCAGAAATATTTAGAGCACATGGCTGAGAAGACAATTAACATCTCTTGGAAGCCTATCGTAGCACACACGTCAGACATTTTCTCACTCCTCTGTTTGCACATAAGCACACATGATCTGAAGGGCACGTGCACATGATGCTTTACAGTAAATAGACACAGGAACATGAATTATATGCTTGTAGGGTAGGTGCCATTCTCTAAGCAGAGAAATCAATTCTTACATGGCCATTATCGCCGAAGCTGCAGTCAGGCAGTCATAGTCTTATAGTGTAGGAGCGATAATTCACAAGTGGAGCCCATCATCAGCACCAACACAGTCAAAGCATATAGCAACATCCTACAATTAGAGAGATTCATTATCACTGTTTACCAATAATCAACAATGGAGCCAATCCTGCACTGAAAAAACTGAGACGTTGACTGTAATTAAATGTAATATGTCAACAAATTTCACAGTATTAGGTTAGTTGCAATAATATAAAGTTGAACCTAATATTTATTATTGTTTTGCTTTCCATGAGTAATGTGGAACCAATTAAATCAGCCCAGGTAGCAAAATATAATATAGCCCAGGTAGCATACAATAACCTTTGGAAATAATGTGGTATGGCAAATCCCTGCTGCACTTTTTGTAGCTACTTCAAATTCCTGTGAACAATCACAACACTTTAGCTGTATGTTGGAAAACATATAGGCATTCGAGAAGATAATAGCTAGAGTTAAGCATTCTAAATTAATCTTACATATATTGTTTTTCAGCTCAAAGTTAATGATAATTATGACCCTACCCAACATGATTGGTTAATTACCAATGTTAAGGGCTTGAGTTCTTTGTTTTGCAACTCTATTTGGTGTTTCTCACCAATGCATATCGAGAGAGGGAATGTTCCCTTATGTCTGATTGTGAGTGCCTCCTGAGTCGTAAATGAGAGGGAAACAACAAAGCAAACAGACAGATGAGGAGACTAGCCCCACGTCTGGATCATCAGAGACCGTTTCTAATCCACTGATGAGAAACGACAAAATCTAGACCTCTGATTTTGATATGTTGTGACATATTTTTAATATCCCGGCAAAATTGAACAGAAGGCTTTTCCCGTGTTGAGTGATAAGACACATGTGACCCTCTCGCCTTGTTTCCATGGACACATCATTAGAGAACTTCCCCAGCTGGCTCCAAAAGCTTGTGTTGACGGCAAATAACAAGTGAAAGGTTTAAGAGGAAAGAAAAACTGACTTTCAAGTCCTTCACTCAATTGGATTTACAGTAAGTCTGTGATGTATAATTACAGTAGATCTATAGATATAAAATATGTTCATTTTTTGTTAATTTATTTTAGGTGTCTTCTACTACTTTGATGCACTTGATCCTCTAAAAGCAATGTCAAGTCACTGCACTTTCTTCCGTCAAATCACACACATCTTCAATTTTCAGCTGTTCAAAGATCATTCAGACACCACTCATTAGTCTTACTGCTGCGACTTGTGGAGATGAAAGTTAGTCTTTCTTATTTTATTTTCTTCTCTCCAAATGAGACGTTTGAAACCTTGCAGGGTAGAAATGAGGTGAGTACAGTAGATCGTTATTTTGCCTTTGTCAGGTGGAAAAACACTTACTGCTCATATTATAGATCAACACTGCTGATCCCAACTTTCAAATTGAAGCACGGCAACACGCTTGCAAATTACACAATACAGGCAGCAACAAATGTGCAGTGCGCACACTCAGATTTGACCCAGTTTGCAGTAAGGAACTCGTAAAAGCTGTTTACAAATCTTCAAAAGTAGAAGTGCCAGAAAGACATGAGTTTGAGATGCATGAAAATATATTTTCAAGATAACAATAACTTCTACTATTATAATAAGTTCTACTGCATAGCCCGAAGGAGAACATTTATTTGGTTTTATAGAAAGTATAAAGAAAGGATCAAATTCAAAATGTGAAAGTGTTTTGAAATATTAACAGATAAGACCAACCCGGTATCACGGCAAGACGTGAACATGTGACGATCCGGGTATTTCTCCACTGGTTGGGCCATGTTAACAATACCGTGTAACTGTCACGTTTGAAGGGACGAAACCGTGACATATTCACGTCTCCCAGCATGGTAGATCGTCACATGTTCACGTCTTGCGGTGATCAGTGATCAGACACATGCCAGCAAAAAATGTCAATGACGTCTACTTCCAAAAGTGTCAATTTGTTCACAGATCATACATTTAGCAAAAATGTCCCTGTTAAAAAACGATTTAACACATGTTCAAAGAAAACTACGGTGGCCGAGAGGGACAAACGTGTTACAATGGCCCAAAACACTTTCATTTGGAGAAACGCACTGCAAAATGATGCAAATATAAAAACACAATGCGTCAAAACACATGCATATGAAAAAACATCTTCACCAAATTGATGAAGCATGTGCTGGGTTTACTGAACACAGCATAAACAAAAAAGCTGCAAATACAAAATAGTGCAAATAAAAAAATAAATCACGGGAAGAACTCAAACACAACAGAAACGGGGAGACTCAAAAGTGATACACATAGCTGGGATCGGAGCGCTTGTTGACGTTCAGGGGTTAAGTTGGCCAACTGCGAATGTTTCGTCAAGTTGGTGAACATGTTTTTTTTATTTACATCGTTTTTGAAAGTGCAGCACGTTTCTCCTATGTTAGTCTTTGTGGCCTTGGAAGCGCATTTGCACGGTTCGATCACCTTAGAAAACGGCAACATTCTCCTTTTTTGCTCCCAAATTGCTAGTAGTTTCAGTAGTCGACAAAATAAAATGGTCAACTCCCAAATCACTCCCAACACTGCTGGTGAATAGTGTGTATACTGCACCCTCAATGTTTGGCACACACTAAACATAATATGTGAGCTCCAAATAAGGTGTATCCTAAATACACATGGATGGGTTTTTGGGGCAGACAAATCAGTGTCTTGCATAGATCCAATTTTCCTTGGACAATCTAATTTTCTTCTTCGATCTGTTTGTATGTGCCAGGATTGTTGGAGCGCTCCCACAATGACATCAGACAGATGTTCATTTCAATAATCCTGTGTGCCCATCAGTGTTACTTTGTGTTTACAGTATCACTCCATCGGGGAGAACAAGCGGCTAATCAGCACAACACAAAGCTACTGTCACTCCAAAATCAAATCTTATTATCTCCGGGAAATGTGCTGTGTATTGACATGACGAGCATAACAGCAGCACTTTAGTTTCTGCTAACACTCAGACTCCATTGACTTATCGCAAAGTCTTTAAACTAACAATCACTGTATGCAGTGTGTGCAGCACCATAGAGTGTTGAAGATGTTGACTTTGGAGTAGATTTACAATATGCTATATGACAATTTGCCAAGATGTTTTATTAACATTCACAATACAAATATATTTTCCTTTTTGGATTATCACTTATCACTTGTCTTCTAATATTTAGCTGTGCTCTAATTACAGGACAAAATAATAAACTGAAATGAGTTACCACTCATAATATCTGAACAGTACTGTGCCAATGGCGAGCTCTTCCTTGAGAGATTTCAATAGACAAGTGTTAATTCCATCACTTTTGAACATATATGCTTAATTTGGCAAAATTAAATTGTGTCGTGATCACTAATTTACTCATGTACATAATTCACTCATGGAACTACAGGTGGGGGGGTATTGTTTCCGCACGGACATATGTGTTGCCGATTGTATTTATTGTGTGCCCTCCTGGCTTCTTCCTCTTCTTCCCGGGCTGCGACCCGACAACATGTCCGTTTCTGCTGCTCATTAAAGCACCACTTTGTACCTTCAATGTACCGCTTCCGACTCCCATCTCTCTCGGCACTACAATCTTTAAGATAATTGTGGGTATTTCCTCTTCTGTTCAATCTTTATCCACCTTCTCCACCCAACTCAGTGGGAAATGTATAATTCTGTCTCCTCAAAAGATGATTTAGATTGCTTAAAAGGCTTACTAGACACTGACTCACAATGTTTCCGCACTCACACACTTAAATCCATTTTATTCAATTATTCACACCCTGCCATTAAGTAAGCGATGTTGTTTCCCACTTTAAATCCACTCAAACGTCATGGGAAAGTATTCATGCTTCATTGCCATGTAACTCTCTTAAGACATACAAATTAATACATATTGCACACACACATCTCTAGCATGGTGATACAAAAGCCACACACTTTCTATAATAACTGCAAGTACTCAATATTTAGACTCATTGTGCCTCCCTCAGGAAAAAGAGTGAACTGACAAAGAGCAGTGGGAAAAAATGTCTTAATTCTTACATTTTGTTGTTGTTTATAATACATAATATGACAATTTTTTATTTGTCTTTTGGAATTAAACAAATGTATGCATAAAAACTACGTTATTAACTACAGAACTTTCAAAGTTATATCTATAAGGTTTCAGCTTATTCACCTGTAGTTTTCAATTGTTATCATTTATCCTAATGTACAATTAAATTATTGGCAAATCAAATGGCTGATATGGTCTATTTACTGGACTAAAAATAATATAATGCCATGCTGCTGCTCTTACTCCAGTCCAGCAGGTGGCGGTGATACAGACGTGAACCAGCTCACTGTCTGCCAGTGCCAACACAAACAAGCAGAAGAAGAAAATCTAAAACGATTCTGCTTGAGGTTTTTGTATCTTAGCCTGCATGTGCCTCCAAATATGTGACAAATGTGAGGTTCACCAAATGTAGGACACTCTCCTTACTTCAGCTGCAGTTAACTGCAGAGTATGGCGGAATATCAGTTTATGTTGGACCTGAACATCTCGGCGGAAAAGGACCGTTGCCGTTTCTGCTGCTCTTGTTGTTATTGTAGCTAGCGTTAGCGTTAGCTAATTAGCTAAGCAATCGCTCACAGCATAACCGATGTTGATTCATTGCTGCGGGGCAGTGAACCGCAAAAACAAGGTAACTCTGGAGCAACTTTCAGACATCAACAACAGACCTTAGCAACGTTTATGAAACGCCTTTAAGTCATTGTGTAATTGACTTTAGCCAGTGTTTTAGGTGTTGTTACAGTGCAGGATATGCTAACGTTATTTGACAGATTGCACGGATAAATGACGGCTGCATGCTTTTGAAGAAAACATGGATTAAAATGATATTCCTAGCTAAGATCAGCTAACCCCTAACGCTGCCAGCAGCTAGTGCTGTCTGCACGTTTTGAGATGGAGCAGCAGATAGCAGCCAGTGACATGGCTCTAATCTTCCCCATCACATCTGTCTGAGTTGTAAAGCCTGTGAAAGAGAAATCATGTCTTGCAAAGCCGCAACCAAGGACAAGAAGTCGAGCTTCAGCAAGAAGCTGTTCCGGCGGGGCTCTGTGCGGTCTGTGGGCAGCTTCATGGGCAGATTCATCCGGACTCTGACCGCCTTATCACACTTTGGATCTGAAGTGCAAGCAGAAGATGAAAAAGATGACGGGGGGTTCTCCTCTTTTAAACCTGGGTGTAAGGATGTGCCCATGGAGGATGGGGACCTGGCGGGTTTGTTGTGTGGAGACAGGGTACCTGGAGTGTCAGGGCTGAAAAACCACGGGAACACCTGCTTCATGAATGCCATCCTGCAGTGTCTCAGCAACACGGAACTCTTCGCTGAGTACCTGGTTCTGGAGCATTACAAAGGCGATGAGCAGGAAGAGGACAAACCAAAGACAAATGGCTTACTTCTGCACAAGAAGGGTCCTCTGGCCAAAGGAGAGGTGACGGAGCAGCTGTCAGGACTCATGCGGGCTCTGTGGACCTTTGAGTACACCCCGCAGCATAGCAGGGATTTCAAGGTAAATGCAAGTACTTTGCCAATACATACTGCCAGAGTTGGAAGAAGTACTCCGATGCTCTGCTTCAGTAAAAGTAGAACTACCAGAGTGTAGGAATACTGTGTTACAAGTCAAAGTCCTGCATTCAAAATGTTTCTCAAGTAAAAGTACAAAAGTATTGACATCTAAATATTAGGGATGAGAATTTGAAAGCAAATGTATATTCGAATATTCGACCCCCCAAAACACGGTTAACCGATTAACCGAAATGTACATATAAAAAAAAAAAAATTGGGAATTTCTTTTACAAAAAATAAATTAATAATAATAATTTTGAAAAATAAATAAATACATGTTCAAATAAGTATAGAAACCAAGTCGAATTTGTCAAATGTATTGAACTGGTGATCACAGTTTGAACAGTTGACAGCTATAGGCCTACAGCTTTCATGCTTAAAACATAACTTGGTTTTTAAATGAAAGAGGGATCATACACGAACAACATAACGGGTTAGGGTAACGTAACCCTATTACAACAGAGATCAACAACCTATAACAGGGCCTATGCACAGAATGCAGCTACTCAACACTCATTCTTGTTTAAGAATATGAGCATGTCTACTCAGGGGAGAGGCGGGTGTGGAGACGATTCACAATCAGGCCAGCTGTAGAGGAAACCCTCTCAGCTGGAATTTGGGCATAAGATGAGGTTTGAGTCTGCGTGATCTGCGTGTAGGGAGGGGCAGCAGCCATATCATTAGCTAGAACTAGCTAGATCTGATGGATTTGGACATAAACGCGAGTGAAGTATAACCGGACGCGAGAGAGAGATCAGCACCTGCAGCTCTGCCCGCTGTGAGGGACCCGTGAGCGGAGCAAAACACACCTTTAGACCTAACACATTTAGCTATGGCACTGTCGTATACATTGAATTATTCCATTTGATAATATGTAATCAATTTAGGCACCCCTCCCAAAAAAAAAAAAGAACTGAATAATTTCTAATATTCGATTAATCGTTCCCATCCCTACTAAATATACATAAAGTACCAAAAGTAAAAGTACACGCGATGCAGATTGGCCCATTTCAGAATCATATATAATATATCTTGTCATTATAATCAATCATTGACATATTAATGTGTTTATCAAGCAATATCAATATAACTAAAGTCTTATTTAAGTGTTGATTACATATTATTTTATCATTAATCCATATCTGAAAAGTAAATAAAGGTACTACGTAAATGTGGTGGAGTAAAGGTACAATATTTACCTCTGAATTGTAGTGGAGTAGAATTACAAAGTAGCATAACATGGATATACTCAAGTAAAGTACAAGTACCTCAGAATTGTACTTAAATACAGTACTTGTGTAAATACTTATTGAAACCTCATAACCACCATATTTAAGTTTATTTAAGGATAAATAGTGCTTACGTTTTGACCTTGCACACATTGTAATCACCACGCTGTTTGTTACAGAATGCTGTGTCGAAAAATGCCATCCAGTTCAAGGGGAATTCTCAGCACGATGCTCAGGAGTTTCTGCTCTGGCTGCTGGACAGAGTTCACGAGGATCTGAACACAGGGAACCCTAACATCAGGCCTGCTATCAAGGTACGTTTAGAAGACTTGTGGCTTTTTTTTTACAGGCATAGTTTGGTGTTAAATTGAAAAACAGTGATTGCCTGTGGTACATTCCTCCTTATTTCTGAACCACACAGTCCTTGGGACCAGGAAGCTGATTATAGTTATTCAAGTTGTTATTGAAAATCTATTTTGCACGATATGTCACATGTGTTTATATTTTTTCTGGTCACACTAATGAGTTGCTTTCACAGTCCTGCTCAGCTAGACCTGCCTGGTCTTGTTTCCTCTGGATTTCCGATAGCTAGTTGATAACAACAGAATACATGAACTGCATTTGAACTAGCTTATGAAGTATTATGTATGACTGACTAGTAATACCTGTTTGTTTTTGTTGCCAGCCACCTATAGAAGAAGACGATCAAAGCTTGGAAGGGCCCTCTCCTCCCCTGTCTGCTGGGTCCTTTGTGCAAGAACTGTTTCAGGCTCAGTACAGGTAGACTTTACACCTAGTAAAACATGTTTTTTCCACCATCGCCACACTATCTTTCTGCTATATTTAGAGATGACGTTTTGTCCCAACAGATCATCTTTAACTTGCCCACATTGCCAAAAGCAGAGCAATACGTTTGATCCCTTCCTCTGCATCTCCTTACCGATCCCACTGCCCCACACACGGTGAGTTATCCGTCAACATCGCTCAGTTGAAAGGTCTTCTCTTGTTCATGACTACCTAATACTGGTTTATACAGTAATCCACATTACATAGCTGAAGTAAACATTTCTTTATAAGGTTTTCAAAAAAGACTTCAAAAGGGATCATACCATACAAGTTTACGAGAACCTGAAGCAAATATTAGTTTGTGTTGTTCCATAAAAGGAATGTAACTTGGTGAGTTAGGGCTGTATCGGGGGTTGAAGGTGCAGGCGGAGCAGCAAACAGGTGTGGGAGAAGTGTGCACTTTCAAAACAGCAGTGTGTTCATTTTAGATCACCCCAGCCACAAACTGTTCTCTCTGCAGCATCAGGACTAAAACCACCAGACTAAGGGACAATTTCATCCCACAGACCATAAGACTGTTAAACACCTGAACTTATGAAAGAATATCCATAAACATTCATCTGTCTGCATCTGGCAAAGTATTTATCCAATATCATATTCCATTTACTTGTATATAGACTCTTCTTGCACTATTTCTATTGCATTTGTATTTATTTACCACCTACACTGGTTGCCGGTCAAGTCCCGTATATCTTACAAAGTACTCCTCCTCACCTACAAGTCCCTCCATGCCCTTGCCCCCCAGTACCTATCGGACATCCTTCACCCACATGCCCCACCCCGGAACCTGCGGTCCTCAGACTCTGGCCTGCTCACCACCCCCCGCACCAAACTGCGAACCTTCGGGGACAGAGCCTACAGTGTGGCAGCCCCCACCCTCTGGAACGCTCTCCCTGCGGAGATTCGCAACATCCCCACACTCGACGCCTTCAAAAGGGCCCTCAAGTCCCATCTGTTTGCCAAGGCTTTCGGCCCCTAATCGATCTGTTGTTTTGTCTGTCTGGCTTTTGTTTTGTTATGTTTGTTTTTGCCCTATTACTGTACTGCGACCTTGGGTCCCTTGAAAGGCGCTATATAAATGCAAGCTATTATTATTATTATTATTATTACATGCACTATTTGATCTGTTTTATTTGTTCTATGTCCTATATATATGTTGCACTGTTGGAGGAGCCTGTGACTTAAGTTTCTACACTGTAGCTAATGTACAAATGACAATAAAGCCTTGAATCTTGAATCTTTAGGGGTGTATTCAGAACAGAAAAACAAATGGGGAAAATAAGCGAACGTTACGCTTGTCAAACATGGGTTGAAAGCAGAAGAAACCTTGCTACCATAGTACATTATAGAGTATAATATTTATTTGTGTTGTTTGCCAGGCCCCTGTATGTGACGGTGGTCTACCAGGGGAAGTACTCTCACTGCATGAGGATCGGAGTGGCTGTTCCCCTCAACAGCACGGTGTACCGCCTCAGAGATGCTGTGTCACGTGAGACCAAGATCCCCATGGACCAGGTGCTATTCCTGTCTCTTATCAGCTCAGGGTCTGACACACTGGGAATATATGTTACAGTCACACAATGGAAACTCACTGTTTCTAAAGCCAGCTCTTCCTCTGTTTGTTATAAACCCATTTTTCTTGTGAAGTGATCAATACACTGAGAGAGATATTCTTAAACACTGTTGTCCCTGAGGCTGTGAAACCTGAGTGCTAACATTGATTCAATCTGGCAGAATGAAAATGCTTCAGGAGTTCAAGTAAATAAGGGGCAAAGCAAGATAAGGAGGTATTTTCTGATGACTATTTTTGCATAATGGTAAAAAAAACACTAATTTTTTTTTTTTTTTTTTCTTCTCTTTCAGTTTGTTCTGACTGAAATGTACTACGACGGTTTTCATCGTTCATTTTGTGATGACGACGATGATCTCGAAATCATTCAGGAGAGTGATTCCATTTTTGCCTTTGAGACACCGGAGACCTTCAAACTGGAAAACATACGCACAAAAAGAGGTAAGTTACACTTCATATTTTTCCCATTATTCAGCTTTTTTTCTACTCTAACTTAATAGAAAGGAATTTACCGACACTTGTTTTTATGTTTCACAGGAAGTCTTCTGGCAAACCTGAATCATAACAACTTAAAGTATGGGACAGAATTGAGCAGGACTCCGTCGTTCATGCAAGGAGCCTTGACACCTTTAACTGCATCACCAAATAAAAACCTGGGGCCAGAGAAAGTTATCCTTCTGGTGTGCAACAGGGCATGTACCGGGCACCAAGGAAAGAGGTACAATCACAATACTCTATGTTCTCTGATGCTAATGTATTCGTACGTGTTGTTTTCATGTTCTTCTCAACTATGAAGCTCATAAAACAAATTCAGGGCTGCATGGTATGAGGAGTATATGCAAAAAGTTTGTTCAGTATCACAATAAAATATTACTTCTGCTAAAAAGATATTAAAGTATACTTGCTTCTACCTTTCTGCTGCTATCAGTATACCTCTAAAATACAACAAGTTAAGTTTTGAATAGAAAAAATGAAAAACAATACATTTTGCAGCCCTAAAACATGTCCAGTCTTTATTGGTATTTTCCAAGAATGGTAGCGATGGGTAAATGGTGTGTTAGTGTTGTGCAAAAGTTTGTGGAGGGATTTTTAACAGCAACGCACATTATTTTGTTTTAGGTTCGGACTTCCTTTTGTACTGTACATGGAGCGCACTGTGACCTGGGATGCTCTACAGAAAGAGATCCTGGAGAAAATGCGACATCTTCTGAGGCCGGGGGTATTCATCCAGGTAGGAACAGGAATAACATGTTTGTCTTTATATTGAATGTACTGCAAATTAATTGATGCTTCACACAGTAAGCTGGTGAATATGAAATATCAGCCTCCAAAAAGACTGTTATCAGTGAAATACTGAGACATAACTTTTCGGTATAAACGGAAATCCCTGATGCTGTCTGATTTACACCTGGTTAATAAGCCAGATGTATTAGGATTAGAGAAGTGCTGACAGTGGTGTGTGTGTGTGTGTGTGTATAGGTCGGACCTTTCAGTCTCCGGGTGGTTGGTGTTGTCGGCATCACTTACCTCCTTCCTCAAGATGAGCGACCACTGTGTCACCCCACTGTGGAAAGGTCAGTTCTGCTGCTTTATATTTCAACATCTGGGTAATGCCTGACAAGTTTGAAAAGCTGTGTATAGTGGTTAGTTTTCCTATTTGTGATTTAGTCGTTTGCCGTCTTTAAATGCCTACTAACATAATAATTACTTTCCCAGGCATTCATGCTGTAGAGGTAGATATTTGAATGTTACCAGGCAGACATGCACAGACTTGGCGATGTTGTTTTCTGCCTCTTAAAAATTGAGATTTTTTACTTTTCTCTTTTTTATATCATATTAACTGACATAATAAGACATTTCAAAACATCACCTTGGACTTTGAGAAACTGGGATGGGACTTATTATAAACTTGCTTTTGTGACAAGCCCTAACATGATTTTGACTGTTTGTTAAAATGCCGATTTATCATGTTTGACTTTTTACCTACATCAGTTTGCATCAATAAAACAAGTCACAGCTTCTTGCTCAATAGTGGTGCATGAATCAAAGTGAAAAGGTTGCTTCTGGTATTACTGCAATGGATCAATACCTTCTTTGATGACAACTAGGATTACTCTTTATATGTTATCATTTGCTGGTTTTGCTCACAATTCTATTATAACCGCAGAAATATATATCATATTTGAACTTTGATCTGCTCTTTGAGAGTAACTAAATCATGTAATTCACCAGATTGCAATAACCTATTCTCTAATGCAGGGGTTTTCAAAGTGTGGGAAGGTGAGCCTCCCCTCAGAGAACATAAGAACAGCCGCGCCCCCCCTCCAAATTATTATTGCTATTATTATTATCATTATTGTTGTTGTTGCTATAATGCAGGGGTATTCAATTGCATTTCAAAGAGGTCCAGTAAGAGAAAATGTCATTAAATGCTCTGTTTTCGCTGTCTACCTTCCGCCATTTGAAATTACTCCGACTGTTTCTCTCCTCTTGTCTCGTCTCTGTGTGTGTTTGAATCTATCGTGCTGACTCACTAACTGCACCGATTTGATTGGCTGAGTAGTGTCACCTCCTTAAAACATGAAACAATAACTTTTTTAAACCTTTTTATCTTTATGTTTTAAACATATTGTATAAAACTCCCCCACTACTTGGACTATTCCTTGCACCCCTCTAGAATAAGCCCGAATGGTCTCATTGCATATTGCATCAGTAACGTGCACTTGTTATAACAAGATCGCAAGGACACTGGTAGCGATAGGACAATTGAGTGTTGTTCAGTTTGTGTGTTGTGGAACATGCGTGTCCGTGCATGAAAATGGGTTATGTAACGCTGTAACCAGATGAGTGATTACAGCGCCCGGTATAATTTTACACACATTTGTATCATACAGATGCAGGACTTACACACGCCTGCTTTCTAACCGACAGGTCCGCACGCACTCTCCAGCCGAAACTCTAATAAACATTCATTCACAAACTAAATCAGGAGACCTTTAACGTTTTACGTCCGATTCCCTCCTTTCCCCCCGCTGTTCACAGCTCCAGTTTCGGCATTGGCCTGTCATCAGATTAAATGTTTAGTTGCTGCTGTAGCGGAAGTTTAGTACAATTATTTTTGATTAAATACTCCAAATCTCCACCCTCCATAAATGCACTTGCTTCAGTTGCTTGCTACTTTCTAACGGCGGTGAGAGTGCAGTGACGCTATCTATCTATCTATCTATCTATCTATCGATTAGATTTATGATTCGAAAATTATAAAAGTAGAGTAGACATGTGGATACTATCCGGCTGTACAAAACGTGCATTTATCTAACAGGTTCGTTTTCCACAGACCTTATTTCGAGCTATTTTCCAAAATCCTATGGAGAAATCCCATTGCTTTTTTGTCGAGGGAACGCGAGCGCAGCTTACTTCCGGGTTTTAGGACGCGTCACTGCACCACTAAATTGATGCGATTTGATTGGATTGTGATTGGCATGGCTCTGACTAATCACAGGTTGGCAGGGGCATGACGTGAGACTTGTCTGATTGGTCAATCCCTCCATTTCTTTTCACCAAGGGAAGCCAATTTCGGCTGGCCTCCTCTCGCAACACTGAGTGCAATCTACTGTTTTACCATAACATCTAGAGGGGCGCTGTTTCACTCTTTGTAAAATACTCAATGAGAATGGGGGAGAGACGGGCCGGCAGCAACACACAGCAAAGAAGAATTTCCGAAACTAAACGAAGTGTTTTTATTTATTTATTAAAATTATAACTACAATCCGAAAAAACAGGGGAAGCCTGGCTTCCCTTGGCCTCCAGGAGAAAACGCCACTGATCCTTATATGCTCCCGGCAACACACTGAACGTCAACTTTGCCTCCTTATTACACTCAGCCCTACTTTAGTGGGAACAATGAGTCTGCGTCTTTGATGCGCACAGGAATAAACGCAGATCTCTGGCTGCAGCCTTGACCGGCACTTGCTTTTGATCAAAGTCAATGCGGAAAACCCGCACTCACACAGGTAGGTGGAGGTGAAGGGAATGAGCACTTTTACAGCCTTTTTGGGGAGGTGGGGGAACTCGGTCTCTACAGACAGCCAAAAGTGTGCAAGTGTCACTTTACTCGTCTTTTTCTCGTTATTTTTGTTTCTCACGCTGCGCCTCCCCTGAAGCTCTCTGGCGCCCCCGAGGGGAGGCGCGCCTCACACTTTGAAAACCGCTGCTCTAATGCAATGTCCTTCTCAAAGACCCCATTTTAAAACAGCAAATGATGTAATGCATGTGGATTATATGGCATAAGACAGAAATGTTTCACACTAAATTACAGTGCAAAAAACTAAATCCCATTTGTAATGTCAACTTCCTAAATCACTTCAAGTGTTTTAACTCGTATTGTTTTCCCTGCAGAGCATACAAGTCCTGTGGACAAGGGGGACCTCCACATGTGAAGATCGTGGTAGAGTGGGACAAAGAGACCAAGGACTAGTGAGTGAAACATCTGAATATGTTCTGCGCTCGGTTGGTTTTCACCTACTGTATGTTTGTTCTGCACAGAATGAAAAGGAGCCAGGTGTTGACATTTGTTTGCTGTTGTCGTCATTGGGAACAAAATATTGGATTTCACAAAGCTAGACAGCATACATCAAATTAAATGAAACATATCTTAAACCATTCCTTTTAAGGACTTGCCTTGTGCCATTAGTTAAAGAGGCCCGTCTATGCTTGTTGGTGTTTTCCCTTTCCTGTAGTGTGTTATATAGGGTTTGGTGCATGTAAATGGTCTGCATAGGCTAAAATCCCCAAATTCCCTCACATCATGATGTAACGCTCGTGCTTCATTGTACGTGATAGGCTAAGAGGCAGGACATCTATAAGCGGTTGGACAATCACAACAGAGCCGGCCAGCTAACCAATCAGAGCAGACTGGGCTCTGGTTTCAGACAGAGGGTGAAAAGAGGTGCTGCAGCACAGGCAGTTTGAGAAAAATAAAGACCTTTTGAAGATTAAAGCATGTTAACATGTCACATTAGAGACACAACATATAATGATGGAACCGGAACATTTGAATAATAGGGCCCCTTTTAACAAGCAGAACAACAAGTTTGTCCTCGTAATGTATTATGTAGAATGCACAATTGAGATGTTACTAAATTAAAAAAATCAATAGTATTATCTATTTGACCACAGTTTATGACCTGTATGTATTTGAAGGCCCCAACTGAAATGCCACATTTTGACCCCTGTGTCTTCACTCAGATCATCCCTGCCTCATACCTTTCCTTCAACATAATGTAACTCATCTGCTTGTCACAGTACTATAAATAAGCATGCTCACACATCACTGACAACATGTGTCAGTAAAGAATACAGTTTTCAGTACATGTTAGCCAAAGATCTTAATAAGCCATATTTTATAGGACTTAACCTTTTTTAACTTTTGCTGTTCATCAAATCATTTGCATTTGAAAAATAAACTTGCTTAATCTACTAGAAAACGAGCTTAATTTGAAACGGTTGTGGTTTTAAACCACATATAAACACTAGAGACTAGTTCCGCCCACACAATCAACAACACGTCTGCTCTAGTTCCCTCACTTAAGCTAATTACAATGTGCGGTTAACACACACGCGCACACACCACACACCCTTTGCTGTTCAAATGAAAGCCGCATCTTGATCATTAGTCATGTAGATTATCATCTTTCAACATGTGGAGGAAAATCTCTGCAAGACGTTTAATTAATATTCTAAACCTGTGTGTGATTAATGTTCATGAAGCGGCTTATCAGACTGTTTTAATGCTGCTCCACCCGTCAAGATCCAATACTTTCAGAGATCTTGCAAAAACATTAGGAAAATGATTTTGTTATGTATGTAATGCCAGATATAAATATAAAAAAGACACACTTCATTACTGTAATGTGCCAATCAATTAGATCAGCTGTCTTGAGATATTTCACAACCTAACTGCAGTCCAGAATGTCGACACAGATCTTGTGATGCTCCTCTCATGACTCTGCTGAATGATTGGCCTGTGCTTCATGTCCCTGCAGTCTGTTCGGACACACTGAGGAGGAGTACATTCCTGATGCTGAGAGTGTGTATCTGCACCGGGAACAGCACCATCAGCCGCAGGCCTGCAGCCTCGCTCAGTGCTTACAGCTCTACACCAAGGAGGAGGAGGTAACATTTCAGCCTCACACACACATAGTTGATTGCTGCACTGTCAGTAGATTGACATTGGAAAAATAAATCCTGGATTTTCCCTGGCACATGTCAGTGGTGAGTATACTTTGAAGTATAGCCTCACATGTGTCTCCTCCCCGCTGCGTAAGTTCCGAAAGCCTTTCACTGTGTGGTTTTTCTGTGTATTTGACTTCTAATGCTACGTTTGGAATAAACTGAGCCCAGGCCTACATATACAGTGTGGTTTGACTTGCCTGCGATAGCTCTAGAGGAGAATAAGGGAAAACTCAGGGCTGTTATACCGCGTGAGACCTATTTTATAAGCATTGTGGTGGGAGCTTGTCCTTGATGGGTGTGTGTGTGTTTGTGTGTGTGCGTGTGTGTGCGTGTGTGTGTGTTTGTGTGTGTGTTTCAGCTGGCCCCAGATGATGCCTGGCGCTGTCCCCACTGCAAGCAGCTGCAGCAGGGCCGCATTAAGCTCAGCCTGTGGACGCTGCCTGATGTGCTCATACTGCATCTCAAGAGGTTCAGACAGGTATTACAGCTCGACACTTTTCATACAGAACATTGACATTTGAATCCAGATATACTTTCTGAGAATCAAGAATGGAATCACTCTTGATTATATTTTAAATCAAGTTGTTTTTTTTCTCAATTTGTGTTCGAATTTAGGGCTCGGTATCAAATCTCAATACTTTTTAGTAGCAGTGATTGTTGAGAAATGGTACCACCAGATATGTCCAAATAGTAGACGTATATCATTATTTGATCAGATAGTTCCTAAATTCAAATTGAATATTATGTCAGTTGTAAACAAATATAATAGGGCAAAGATGATGTAGTGTTGCTCTTGAAATGCCAATATCATGTTGGCACCATTTGAAACATTATTAAGTCTGGTGTGTTTCCAAAAATATTTCCTTTTTTTTCTGAAGCCTTCATCCATTGTAGGTTTTACTAAGTTAATCTTACATGTAAGGAAGGAGCTGGCTGATATTAAAAATACCTAATTGAGCAGTTAAAGTCCTAAGTACTTATTGTAGCTACAGAGTTTTCTTCAAGGTTCCTGTCAGAATAGATTTGTTCTATAACTGCAGATGTGTTTATGTTGCCTCTGCTTCAGGAGGGAGACCGGCGGATGAAGATGCAGAACATGGTGAAGTTCCCTCTGATGGGAATGGACATGGCACCTCACATGGTGAAGAGGAGCCAGAGCAGCTGGAGTTTACCTTCCCATTGGTCGCCATGGAGACGCCCATATGGCCTGGGCAGAAACCCCGATGACTACCTGTACGACCTGTACGCTGTGTGCAACCACCACGGGAACATGCATGGAGGACATTACACAGGTAACGCTATAAACACATGTTCTAGTTCAAAGGTTTTAATACTAGTTGAACATTACATTTTTACATTTGTATGTGTTTATTTTTATTTATTTATTTATTCTTTTTTTTATATGTTTCTAGTTATTGTGCTTTTTATCATGTTTTTAATTATTGTTTTATTAGTGTACTCCCATTGTGTTATTTAATATAGTAGTTATTGCCTGTACAGCACTTTGGTCAACTGAAGGTTGTTTTAAATGTGCGCTATAAATAAATAAAGATTGAGATTGAGATTGAAAGGTAATATTTGAGGGTTGGACTGCTTCACCCATTCTTTTATTTGCAATCACAGCGTACTGTAAGAACTCCATTGATGGTCAGTGGTACTGCTTTGATGACAGCGAGGTTTCCCCAGTACCTGACGAAGACGTGTGTCAGCAGACGGCCTACATACTGTTCTACCAGCGGAGGACTGTCATTCCCTCCTGGTCGGCCAACAGCTCTGTTGCTGGTCAGCTTTTATTTCCTACTTTCTGTCTGATATCTGCTGTGTAGTCAAATAATTCCCCAAATGGACAGGCAAAAATGGGTCAGTTTTTAGCTGATCAGTCTAAATCTTTTTGTGCAGCAGAAGGATTTCACGTCGCACACACCGCAGCAAAGAAATCACACACATGTTGTTGGTATATAATGTCTCCAGCTTGAGTGAAAAAGACACAGGGCTCACAGTTTTCTTACCCCTGCAAGTCCTAATTAAGCCGGGAAGGAGCAAACTTAAAAACAAGGGTTTGACGACGAGAAGTTCGAAACAGTTTTATTGCAATATTTGCATGAATATAGCCACAAAAGATTTACCACAGAAACACCATTTTGACAGAAGTTACCAATGAACCAATGTAAACAAATTTGAAATAAAGCCTTACTGATTATAAGCTGTTATGATTTGTATTTGCATTAATCTACTACACACGCTGTACAGTTAACTTTTTATTTTGGGAAAATAATACAAAAAAGATATGCCTTTTTGTGGCTCTGAAATGTTAAAGGTAACTCGAGTGTTCTTCTGCTGTTTGTGCAGGCTCCACCAGCTCCTCCCTGTGTGATCACTGGATCAACAGGTTGCCTGGCAGCCGGCCGGCCAGCCTGGCCTCCGGAGCCTCGTCCAGACGCACCTCTCTGGCCTCACTGGCTGAGTCTGTGGAGTTCCCCGTGGAACGCAATGAAGATGATGGTGAGACATTGCTTATATTGGGTTTTTAAATATATTTGACTTTGCAGGTGTCAGATATAACCTACACATGAAGTGCTGCTGTCTCCTGACACATATGTAACACTTCAAAGTTCTAACAAACACACAAGTTCAGTTAGTTTAGATTTTCATAGTTGTAGAAGCAACACCATGTCCATCCACCCAACAGATGAAACTGGACACCTTTTTGAATTCAGGAAACCAAGATTGCAGGAAAAAGCTAAAAGTGAATCCAAATGTGTCATAATTGACAGAAACATGCAAGAAAACATTTGACTGAGCTCGATACAGTGGAAAAATAAAGATGTTGGCTTTGCTGCTGTGTGTGGTTAATATAAATGTAGGCTCAGTTTAATCCTCCAGAATACAGGCTCAGCAAAGTCTCCAGAAACAGATGGCCAGGCAAACTGATATTTAACTACATCTTTCTCACGACACATTATGCATAATGTACTCGTATACAAATGGGGTTGTAATTTGGATTAATTGAGTGATTGAATTCGAGTTAAGCATTTCTAAACCCAAAAAACCCTGCTATTTTGATTTTAGGAGGATTCTCTATCCGCCCCTTTGTGCGGAGCATTCAGCGCCAGAGCCTGTCCTCCAGGTCTTCCATCGCCAGCCCTTTAGCCTTCAGCGACAGCGGGGTGAAGCCTTCCTGGTCTCTGGCTGCGAAGCTGCAAATGAGATCCAACTCGCCCTCCCGTTTCTCCCTCGACTCTCGATGTTCCCCTCCTCTAGAGAGGATCGGAGAGGCGTGTGATGACAAAGTCTCCACGTCCTGTTTTGGCAGCTACAGCAGACACGAGCGCTACTTTGGCAGCAGGTCTCCCCTCTCTATGATGGAGAGCAACTTCACCGACCAGGACAACAACAAGAGGTTCATCGACATGATGTACTGCAGGGCTCCCACTCCAGTGGACAAGAAGAGCACCAAAAATGAGGCAACTGAAAATAACAACCAGATTTCAGCTGTAGACCAAAACTTTCTTCCCGCCCAAGCTACTCCCTCCAAAGAACAGAAACGCAAGAGCAGTATCGGGGGATTCGCCTCAAAGGCGGAAGGCACAGGCTCAACGAAGTCTTCCAGCAAAGTGGAGCAAGAGAAAACCTCCAAAAAGCGTTTGTGCTCGATCCATAAGACCACCGCTGCTGAGACGTCTACCAGCACTCCTGTGAAAGGCAAAAAGCCAAGCAGTACTAAAGAAAAGACTGTAAGTGCCAAGAAAAGCATCTCCACGCCCTCTGGGACTCCCTCCAAAGCAAAGGTGGCGACTCAACCTCTCGACGCAACGCCACAGCGTAAGCCATCAGTCCGCTCCACTCCTCAGTCCTCCACTCCTCAGTCCTCCACTTCTCAGTCCTCCGCTTCTCCCTCGCCAACGGCAAAGAAGAATTCCAACCTCACAGAGAACAGCTGTAGCCGGAAGAGGCTTGTAGAGAGGAGCTTCAGCAGGGACTCGATGCACACCAGTCCTCTGGTGGACAGTCTCCGAGACAGCTTGGCCAGCCGCTCCTCCTTCTCCAAGAGTGGGGAAAGTAATAGGCCCGAGAGGAGATCCGTGCGGAGCTCCAGCAGCAGCTCCTCCGTCACCAGCCTACGCTCCCCCAGCGTATCCGCCAGAGACCTGCAGCGCAGCAGCAAGTCTGAGGAAAAGGGCCTGTCGTTCTTAAGGAGCGCCCTCCGACAAAGGGAAAGCCGCCGGTCGGCTGATCTGGGGAAAAGCACCCTGGTCGCTAAGAAGGCCTCAGAGAGGACGTGCAAGCAGAACGGACAAGCTAAGGACGCCGGTGGAGACGCAGGAAAGAAGGGCGTCGCCGTGTCTCCACAGACGCCTGCAGAGAAAAAGTCGGACACAAAGGAGTCTTCCAGGCCCCCCAGCTCTCTCAGTCGCTCTCTATTAAACGTCGGCAAGTCCAAGTCTTCCACTCCTGAAGTAAGTCTCAAGTCTCCCGCTAACGGGAAGAAACCTCTGGAAAGGATGGCATCTTCCCGCAAGCTGTCGTCGAGCACGCAATCTCCTGCACGTACAACAAAGAGGCCTCAATGATACATCCGTAGTTTGAAACGAACATGATGCAGCTATTTTCTTTGTGCCTGAGTTAAACTGAGCACCACGTGTATTTGTAAAGAGACACTTTTTTGATGTTATGCTTCTGCACTCTGACATCAGATACTAGCTTTGAGGTTTGAGTATTGGCAGTCAGCTGTAGTGAAACAAAAGAAAGTAGTGTAAATCATCTGCATATTCAGATGCCAAACAGTTGCTTGGCATGCCACCAGTTCTAGTTTTAAGTGCGTATCCTCATCAATTACACTTTTTAAGCATTAGGTAGGGTTTTCATGCGAGTTAGACAATCTGTCGACATGTAAGAGTTTTTTCTGGCAAGGCAGGTACATGAGCATGCAATACGCATTCAGCTGTGCAGCACTTCCTTTTTGGTTGTACTGGAGGCTTATATGACAGCTGTCAGAATTGCCTTTTGGAATCCAATTATATTCCCTTCAGACAAGAGGCGTGTTATCTCTTTGAAATGCGGCAAAACATTACGTTTAGTTTGCTTGCAAAATATCCTGCTGACGAAGTAAAAGGATTTAAAACGCAGCAGCTTGTGCATTAAGAGAAGTTAATGGAGTAAGAAGCTTTTTCACCTTGTATGCACCAACGATGCATATGTTGTCTTGTAGGATAACGTTCTTTAGATTCCGATGGAAATAAGATGGCTGCTGATGCTTAAACCTCACCGCTCTGATTTCTAAGCATTTAATACATAGAAGCATAACATCAGAAATCATCTCCGGACAAATTCTGAGTGATGCTCTCTCACACACACACACACACACACACACACACACACACACACACACGGTTTCATTCCCAAATAATAGTGAATAAGCATTTAGTATTTGTCATTAGATGTGTTACGCTGATGGAAGCATTAGCATGCTGTAGGTACTAATAAGTCATTTCATGATTTAAGACGGTTGAGAATAATTTAAAAAGTTTGACATTATGAACCATAAAAGAATATAGAAATACTGAGGTGATGGCAGGCCCCGGACCGAACAGAAAAAGCATTTGAGATGATGAAGAATTAGGAACGGTACACACTTTTAAACAAGTCTTCCAATATTTTAAAACTTTATTTTTCTTTAATACTTTTTTTGATAGAAATGTTTTTTATCAAACTTATCGGAGTTAACTCCTCAAAGGGACGTTGTGTTTGGAATGAAACCCTTTAAAAAGTATATCAATGTACAGATATTGACAAAGTATATAGTATATAATAACCCATTTCTTCCCTTTCCATGAGCAAGATGAATAAGCGCCTTTCAATACTGTACATGGACACAAATGTAGCCTTTGGAAACATAGTAGTCGACTACTGTATGCATCACTGAGTAGGAATGTTGTTTTATCGCACTTTGTATAGAAAGGTCGTTTTCCTTTACCTAATACAGTTCTATACACACACACACACACACACACACACTCTCACTTAATGTACTTATCTTAATATGTTCTTATCATTTGTAAGACATATCGTACAGTAGTGTTGAATGGTTAAGGTTCATTCATCTCGATGTTCAGGGGTCACTTTACTCCACCTGGTGCTCTGGATCTGATGTTTCTTAAAGAGCATCTTTTTAAAAAAAAAAAATGCTGATATTCAGAACTGTGACAACACACACTACAGTGAGCCAGAAACCTGTGGCAGCACTTATCATAACCTGTGGTACCTCATTGGAGAATGTCATATTTGTCTTCATCAGGCTGAACCAGAGTATTGAGCAATTTCATTTCTATTGGCGCTGAGCAGTTGTTCAAATATGGTTATGTAGGCGGAATCTTCTCAACTATCAGACACGGCATGGTACATTTATCTTGCAGTCAAATGATAGAAACAGCAGCTGCCATGACGTTTTGAACACTCGGCATTATCATAGTAGCATTACCCCACATGCAAATGCAATATTCATACATTAGACACCAGCATAGTGTATGTTCGAAACGAATGAATGTGGTTATGCCGTTAAAATCCAACCATTAGTAGGTTATACTTTAAATATGTAACATAAGCTTGTACTTATAGATCTACATATTTGTCTCAACTTTTTCTCTGTAGCACCTAAAAGGTTTACATTGGTTCTCAGATGGTTTCAGAGGAAATGCCACTCAGTTGAAATACGCATGTGTGTTATTTAAATGGCCTGTGCAAATCAGTAGCCTTGATGAGACTCCATCTGAAATGTTGTGACATTAATATTGGTTACGGGTAAGAGTTTGAGAGCAGTTTTTTATATTTGTTGATGTCTCATGATATCAAAATTAGCTGTAAAGTTAAATGCTACCAAACATAGCAACAATGGTTATGTGTAACTCAATTTACAAGATCTCCATCGAAGCACTTTTATCCTAACATTTCTCCATAGATATTTTCCATTTGATCTGTTAAGAATACTCTCTTGGTCATTTAAACACAGCAAAAAATGTCAAATTCAGATCCAGTGGAATAACATTCTGTATGATCATTTAAATGTCCAACCACAACAACACAAATGTATCCGTGGCTACTGTGTTCAAACAGTTCGGGCCATGGAGATAACACGGCTGTTTCACTGTGCTGGTTTTCCTGTAGCTGCTCTTTTTCTACTTCACATTGTAATCTATCAGGAACCTGTGCATGGCACTTTGGATCAAAGCAGGACACTTTACCGTCATTCTGGCTTTCACCGTTTTGTTTGCCTGTGTAAAAGTCTGTAATGAATTAGTGTGCATTTCAGAGCTGGATCATGCCGTTACACTTTGTTCTTCACTCGACATTCATACTGTATATTGCTTGTAATCTATATTTAGATAGGGGCCCCCAACTTTTATGTACACAACTCTTATTGCTGCACCCTGTTCCCTTGTTTTCCCACCTTTCTTTATTCAAGAGAACAATGTCCCTAGTTTCACTTCAGTTTTGTATTATGTCACAGGAATTATTTGTCATGAAGTGACAAACATGAAACTTTGTTATCAGTTGCTTCCAATCCAGAAAAAAAAAGCTTGTATTGCTGTTTTTTTATTTGACTCGTAGTAGTAGAGCAATAATCCGATAATCATCATTCAGACGAAGAAAGCCGACGTTTGATTTACCAAAAAATGCAACATGGCTGACTCGATAAAAGCCATTGAAAACTAGACAAGTACTGTACTTCATACGAGAAGTATATATATATATATATATATATCTCAAATCAATCTAAACACATACCTGCTGAAACAGGATAAAAATCAACATCTTTACAGAGAATATTTTCATCTCATTTTCCTCACTGCAGATATTGTCTGTTTTTTCAATTCCTTGTCTGTACAGAATTGCGAAAGATAAAGGAATGCAGTATTGCATGAAAACGCTAGTGCATGTATTTCATTAACTATGCAAGAGTCTGCAGCTGTTTAAAGCGCAGAGCATGGCCGGTATATTCCATTGCTTTATTTGCACACCATTCCAATATTTAGAAATTGTAAATGACAGAATATTTCATCTGTACAGTTAATAAGATTCAACAGCTATATCCTTTCTTCACCCATTCCACCATATTAATGTTTATATATTTTTACGTAGTATTTTATTTTGTAATTCTGCTGATCTGTGCTCTCTGGGTGCTCCTACCGAGCGGGTAGGTTACGGTCTTTTTTTATGTTGACAAGATGTTAAATAATTCCTGTTGTACACCAGCAGAGACAACGCTATGGATGCGATCATCTCTATGTGGTGACTAAATAGCCTCATGTATGTATGTATTGTGAAATAGCCTTCCATTGATTCAGCGATAACAGTGTATGAACCCCTGTTGAAATGTTCTCAGCTGCATCCAAGATGTGGCCAGTCTCTAATATAAATGCAACTCAAATATATATATAGCTAAATGCAATAAAGATAGTCCATTTGTAGTTTTATATTGCAGTATGTAATGAACAATGACATTAAAATGTTCGGTTAATACTTTTTATAGTATTATCACGTCAATCATTGCTATCATGATGTGATTTCTATTATTTTTTTGTATTTAAAACAGGCAGTTTATCAGCAAACAAACAGCATCCAAACATGCATTGAAGCAGCGCCACTATTTATTTCTGATGACTGGTTAAAATGCATAGAGCAGAAGTTAATTAAGATTACAGATTCCTGCATTGAGTATGTTGTGACACGGCTGTCATAAAAAGTTCCACTTAATGACATTTTCTGCATCATTTTTGTGTAATTTTACCACTGAATCAAAATCGCAATAACCACTGAAACTGAAATACCAACATCTTTCAATTGAGCCACAGACTTCAGATTCCGCAAATACTTTAGGACGACAGCAGTGGTGTGTCGTCCTAAATATTAAAGGGTATAAGAATAACTTGTATTGTGAGTTTGCGGTAAAAATGATGAGGTTATTTTTCAGATGTAAACTCTACAAACTGAACGTTTTCAGAAGCCTTAAGCAAAACAAATTGTAATGGACAGTTTGTATTTTTTTGAATGAAACCAAGGAGCTTTTCTTTTTATGAATTCCATTTTTTTTTGTAATGGTCAAACATTACACGAGAAACTCAGAACTCCACTGAGAAGACTTTTTCATAACAGTAGTGTTTCTTAGAAGCTCTCATAGTTTTAAATCATACTCACAGAACAAAAGCAAAGAAGTGCTTTAGAGAGCAGCTGCTTACTAACACTCCAGCACTACGTTCTGAACAACGTATTCTAAATAAATAGTAAATGTCTCATTTTAATGTGTTTTAAGCTAACAAAGAACGCTATAGTGCTGAAAGCAGCACATCGCCCCTTTGACAATTGTCTTTAATTGTGTTTTTAATTCATAAAACGTTACATTTTTTACGTTTATTCAGGTTTTTTTGCTGTATTTCTTGTTGTACCAGGATCACAAGACTCTTATGCAACTTAACATTAGCGTCTTTGTTCTAGCATTTGCCTCTGCATTTTCCTTCAGTTTCATTTCGATTTCTTAAAGAGAACTGTTCTGACATTCAGTCGTTCATTAGACTGTCTCCCATGTTAATTTATTTCTCTTTTGTTATCATATATGCACTTTTAATGTTTGTTTTTTTATTTCTCCAAAAGAACAAATGTGTACATACATTGTTGGTTTACCCATGCAAATACAAAATCTAAATAAAAATGTCAACAGTTATAGTGATGCCTTGTTATTGAGCAATGTGTGTGTAATCATTGCTACACTAGAGGGAGCTTTCCTCTAACAAATCATCCCTGACTCCACACAACATGAAGCTCTTAGGTTCCATTGGTTTATAGAGACTCACTGATGCAGCATTAACACATAACTCAAGTCAAATGAATATTTAAGTTAAAGAGCTTTTTGCATTACTATTTCTCAACTTCAGATTGATTTTTGTCAGAAAAATGTGTGATCATCTTGAGTAAGTAACGAGTGTATAACTACTCCACACTATAAAAAGCATGTATGTTCCCGCTGCTGTCAGAAATGGTTCTGAAGCAGCATGAAAGACATCTTGGAGGTGTTTTTAAATGTTTCATGTCCAAAGATCACCCTTTCATCCGGTTATCCAGAGTATCCACTGCTCATTGTCTCTGCTGCCGTGTATTATCTGAGACCTCAAGGCTTTGTAATACATGAGCGCCTCTACATTTCTGGGCAGGATTATTATTTCAAGCTTTTCCTGGCTGCAGAATATAGACGTGCAGAGGCAAGTAGCTCAGTCTTAACAGGTCATAATGCTTCAACACCTACTGTATCGCTACCAAAAAAAAAAAAAAAATGTACCTTTTGTATTCAAACGTGAATGTTTGATTAGTAATGTTTTTAGTAATAACGCCAGGGTCAGATATTAAAGAGGCCTTATTATGCTCCTTTTCAGGTTCATATTTCTATTTTGTTATTCTACTGTGACATGTTTACATGCTTTAATGTTCAAAAAGTGCTTTATTTTTCTCATACTGCCTCTTTTCACCCTCTGTCTGAAACCAGAGTTGGAGTGCTACCTAATACAAGCACGAATGTTATGTAGTGACATCACTATGTCGCAGAGGTAAACAAAGGAGTCCAATGGAGGCGTTTCAGGCAGGGGGGGGGGTGGGAGAGAAACTCCCTCTGGAGGGACAGGAACAGGAACAATCCCAAAAGCATAATAGGGTGGTTTTAAGTAATGTCCTCAGCTGCCACCAAAGTGGTACGAAATAGTCGAAATAGGGAATATATCAGAATCAGAAACAGAATACCTTTATTCGTCCCACAGAGGGGACATTAACAATTGTCACAACAAAGAGCCAAAGATAGCTCAAGATGCATGCATAAAAAAAATATGAAAGATAAACAACTAGAAATTAAACAATTTACAAAAATACAAATCCACTACCAATAACAGTTTAGTGATATAGCAGCCAGGTGAAAGTATAAAAGGTGGTTGTATAAATTGCACAGCTATTTACGGTAAATATATATTGCACATAAGTAGCACAACAAGGAGTGTTCTAGTCTTTGTTGTTACAGTAAATGTGTGTGTGGGGTCTACCATAACATCCTTAATCACTGAGTATTTCCAAAATAGGAAGTCCTGCCATGTTGACAGGTGACCTGAAATGTTTACCTGCCACAGTGAACACTTATACCCTGTACTTTTCAGGTGGCAGGTGCTAATTTAATTTGGTCGATCAGGCACAAAACTGCCCTGTAAAAAGCATAATCCTGGACTGCGATCAGCTTTAAGCCACTATGATAAATCCTCTGCTAAATCCTTAATTGATGATCATTATGCGTCACGATGTTGATAAAAAATTAAGTAATGCAGTGCCAGCACTTTATATCTTGTATCAGACTTCGGGAGCTGCAGTCAGCTATTTAAAAAAATAAATAAAACCTGACTTAAATGCCAATCAGCAGAGTTTTATGAAGCTGTTTCATCCTTTACTAACTAAGTAATAAACAATACTACAATCTTTAAAATCAGTGTTGGGGAGAGAGGAAATACTTATGAGTTAATATGTAAGTACATAATCAGGTAATCTTACAAACTCACAATATTTAGAAGAGGCTCCAATGTTGTAGCATCCTTCATGATCTTCCACCTACTGATTTCCAGTCAGTTGGTCATTCTAAAGAACCTTCACACCAACGTTTATTTGTATATATATATATAAGTATTTTATGTCTAAATTCTCTGTTTCTATCTCAACACGTTGGTTTATGCCACAACACAGTGAGCTCTTGGCTGAGATCCACCTCATGAAACATTTGAAATGTCCTGGTAAGCACAGGATGCCATTTACTCTGGTTCTCCAGTGCTTTTAAATGGAGTCAAACCAGCATCTGACTCCTCTCTCATGATAATATCAGTCCCCCACGGTACAGTGGAGTTACTTTAGCAATTCGCCTGTGGTTTTATCTCCTTTGTCCCTTCCTTTGACTCCACCCCAGAGAGTGCAGAAAAATCAATAATAATTGATTTCAGGGAGGCAGGAAAAAGCAGTTGGAATTCAAGGCAAGAGCCGGGGGAAGACAGAGACAGAGGGGTACGAGCAGAGAGGTGCAAGACACTGAGCATAATATGTGTGTGCTGGCACAGCTAAAGGTCACCAACATGGACCTGTCTGTAACAACAGATTATGGAGTGACTAGGCCTCACGGCAACGTAGGTCTCACATATACTAAGATAAGAATATCGGCAGCTGTGAACCTCTTAACTGTTAGTCATTTTAATCCATAAAGAGGATGGTGGGTTGTGTTTAACTTCAGCCAACTTTACAGGTTATTTGAAATCATTTTTTTGAACACTGACTTCTGACGTAGCCTTGCACATGATGTATCTCTGGAAGGCGTTATGGCCGGTGAGTGGCAGCGTTAGCTTTCAACTCGAATTTCACGGAAAGACTTGTCTGAAATGGGAAAGAGCTGTTGAGCTAAAATATTCAACAACAATTCAGAGCTATCTTTTTACACACCAACATGATTTTACAGCAACAATATTTAACAATTCGGCTTCTTTTTAACTCACAGACAAAACAAATGTTGCTTGCTAAGTTTCCACCATACGTACAACATGCTAACGTTATTAGCATAAGCCTAGTAGCATATGACCTTGCATAACGCCTAATGGCAGTAGACTTTTCCTCAATCTACTTGTAGTTTACCAGATGATTGTCTTACCGTTTTTATATTACTGATAGATACAGCATTTCTCAAAAGAACAGCTGACTTTTAGTCTATATGCATGTTTTTTTACCAGTTGGAACAATTATCCAGTTATCCTGGCCACACGTCACTCTCCATGAACCACTGGTATGTTGGTAAGTTGTGAGATCTCTGTCGATTCAAAGTTCCTTTGAGTTTGGTAAGATAATAGTTGTTTTTCTCTCGCAGTTTCCCACAGCAATGTTACAGAATGTTGTGTTGCCACTAAGTATACTGAAGCTGGGTGTCAGCATACCCTCTAAAGCAGGCAATTGTTGGTGATTTAGCCCAAAAATGCTACAAGTTTAAGTTGTTTTTGTTCAGTCTGAAGTGTAAAATAAAGTGCCCTTTCTAGAAAATGTTGTAAAATCAGCTGCCCTACTATCATCATTACTTCTCATGTTCTTAGATTGTAGCAGCCAATTAGCTGCTTGTTTTCTACTATCTGCTGCTGGGCTATAATTCACATCCACTTTCCCACTGCTTGTTTGTTATCCTTTTTTTTCCCTCGAACACTCAATCAACCTTCACAGGCTAATGTTCAAAGCAGGACAAGACGGCAGCAGACGTTCACTACAGAGAGGAAGCACTGTTTGATTTCTATTGCAGGATTCGTCCCGGGGTCCGGTGGGTCAGCGTGGCTGACAGCTTGGAGATTGATAGTTGAGATCTTTCCCAGGCGGAACAGTGTTGGACAACATGAGCAGTGATCCAAGGCATCAGCGGAGCGGGCGGAGGTGGGGCGCCTACAGATGTGATGTGTCCCTGAGTGAAGTGTTTGTGTGTGTGTGTGTGTGTGTGTGTGTGTGTGTGTGTGTGT